CTCGAAAGAGAGAAGATCCTTTCCAAGTAGTCTGGGCATAGCCCCTTGACTGAAGGGATGCCACTTTTTATTAGATATAAAAATACCAGAAATATATGTCACTGGAAAGTAACTTATAGGTTGTCTAGACCTGCTTCTTTCTTAACTCTTACAACTTGAATATAGGAAGAAAGACTAGACAGAATAAAACGCAAGCATTTGGAGGTTATCAGAAATATCTACAATATTTTCTTTCAGAAACATAAATGGAAGTTTTAGTACTTATAAAAAATTAACACTGTACTAAAATTATGTTTAGTGTTTATTTTTTATATTTATTTTTTTCCTTTTTATTGGTGGTAGGGAGTAGGGAAACAAGAAGAAGGAGGACAAAGGGAAAGGAGACATAAAGAAAAAGAAAAGCGTGAAAGGCAACACACCGAAATGTAAATAGTGGCTACTCTGGGGTGGCAGAGGTGTGTGAGAATTTTTTTCTGTATGCTCTAAATTTGCTTCAGTAAGATTCTATTGTTTTTATAATTTAAAATGTACTCTTGAGTGGCATCAGCAAAATGGCAAATTAAGAAGCCCTAGGCTTTCATTCCCTCACAAAAACATCAAAACCAACCGGAAACCAGTTGAATTAACCTTCTAGGAGCTATGAAAAGCAGTCAAAGGTCTATGGCAACCAAGCAAACGCCCAATCAAGAAAAAGCCATGTGCAAAAATTTTACAGCATTTTTCTGTTCTTTTACCCCACTCCTATGGTTTATCTGGGTCTCAAGGAGGCAGCCATCAGGATCCCAATTCCTCCCTTCAAAGAAGAGGGAAGAGAGCAGACCCTTCTTCCAACATTTTAACCACTCTGAGCCTACCGGAAAGACTGGTTCCTCTCCTGCCTAACTGGGATCTCAGGTGGGAGAAGTGGTGGGCACTATTTATGAAAGCTCCAGGGGCACTATAAATTTGTTGATGCTTGGGGCAAAAGATTATGGTGGAAAGATACAATAGACCATGCCTAAGGATCCAGGAGAAGCTGGAGTATGACTCTGGGGCATTAAGACATTCAAAAGCAGCCTTGTAAACAGGAGGAACTGAGAAAGCCACACACAGGCCCAGGCAATACATATGCTCAGAAAAGTCCTAAGACCTTAAGCTTTCACCTTAGGCTGATCACTAGGCATAGGGCATGCTCAGCTAACCAGCAGAGGACTGTCCCAGCATATAGCCAGTCTACAAAGACTGAGAGAGGTGACTTTTTTTCAAATGTACAATAAAAAAAACAAAAATCACAAGGCACACAAAGATACAGGAAAACATGGCCCATTCAAAGGAATACAACATTCCTGAAGAATAGATATTTGACTTGTTAGACAAAGACTTTAAAACAGCTGTCTTAAATATGTTCAAAGAGCTAAAGGTAAAAATAGAGAAAGAACTAATGAAAATGAGGAAAATGATTAATGAACAAAATGAGAATATCAACAAAGAAATTATAAAAAGGAACAAAAATTCTGGAGCTGAAAAATACAACTAAATTGAAAAATTCACTAGAGAGGTTCAACAGCAGAACTGAGCAGGCAGAAAAAAATCAGAAAACTTGAAGAAAAGACCATTGAAATTATCAAATCTAAGTAGAATGAAGAAAGAAAGAATAAAAGCA